TACCAGAATTCAACCTTTATTTAAACAGATAAGTCACATTGAGCCCCGAAGACTCATTTACAAGTGAGACGTGTTTGGACAGATAATAAAAAGTGGTGAAAATGACACATAGGGTTTGGAAACAAAAAAAAAATCTAACATGCTCTTAATCTTTGGCTGAAGGTTAACAGCATGATAATGAAAAAAAACCTCTCACAACGAGCACATAATGACGCCGACATGCCACGGGGGGGACGCAAGGGCATGAGCATGTTCAGAGACAACACACAGAAGCACTGCAGAGTTCAGATCACATCACTCAGTTCCCTCTGGAGAGAGCCGTACACTCTCGGGGGGCGCCGAGGACAGCATCAGATAGAATCCAAAAAGTCTGGGACCCTCTGATTGGTCCGTATACGTCCTCAGTGGGAGGGGGGAAGGGGCAGAGCATCGAAGGTTTGAAAACTTCCAGGTGAATCAAGGTAAGACGGCCTGTCAAGGCCAGTCGGGGCACTATGTAAAGAGAAACTGATGTGGATATTAAGGTTTAAATACTTGCCTTAACACAACCCACTACAAAATTACCAACAATGTTCTTTAATCTCTTTTTTTTCATACTGTCTATTAACTTGTCAGTCCTTCATAGATGTAATTTTTGATTTTTCAAATTGAGACTTCAAAAGATGGTAAGTGAATAATTCATCATAACTTTTCCAGAGAACCCCACTTCGAAATGGCTATAGGATATAATTATAATGTCAGCTGCAACGAGATCTCTGATCGCAAAGGGTTTACTGTGGAACTCCTATAGCTACCAAATAATTCAGTCCAAGAACAGAGGCTTTCTTTGTTATCTTATATAACCCAATGCCAGCTGAAGATATTGATTGTTTTCATTTAATTTTATCATAAAACTTACTTAAATCTATTTTGTCATATTATTACACAACCAAGAAACATTTTGAGATTGCAATTTTTTGTCAACTAGTTTTTGGTCTGGGCAGCTTCTAAAAAATAGAAAACTGCATTAATAAAAAAGTTTAACTTGAATATATGCTTTTTGTGCAGAGGGAACTTTCTTACTTCAATAACTCAATCATACATCAAAACGTGTAAATTCAACATGGAAAAAGACATCTACTGCCCCATCTTCAAAGTTGGAGATATTCTCAGCTACGCCCAGCAAAACTTCAGTGAACTGGCAAACACGGTACAGTACATTCTCGTTTTAAAGTGTTAAGGAGCTAAATTATTGCATATAGTGTTTATACACGCAGTGGAAACCAAATGTCTACAGTAGTCCCTCGTTTATCACAGGGGATCCGTACCCTGAAGCACCTCGATAAGTGAAAAACTGCCAAGTAGGAATACAAGTAGTACAAGTAGTAAGTAG